CTGATTTGTCAATGCTAAATTCTGTTTCATAATTTTTCCAAATCCTGAATTATTTGCGGAGAAAAATTAGGCGAATGTAACTTCACAAAAATCGCTCGATAAAAGAATCCGATCGGACGGCCGGCTTTTCTTAAATTCTGATTTTACGACCGATTTTTCCTGGAACCCTGATGAAATCGGGAGAAATCCTAATTGACCTCAAATCCTGATAGAATCGGAAAAATCGGGGCAATCCTGATGCTAGAAACCCTGTTCTTATACTGCCAAGCGAAGGAAGAACGTCGTATGAGCTATCACTGAAAAAAAAGATTGTTATTAGAATTTACCATTCCTTCACGCTGTATTTCACACAGCGTTAATTCAGAGTCAATTCTGCCAGAAGAAAGGTAAACGTTACTATATATACTGGTACAGGTAACCATTCCTCTAGCAGAATCGACTTGCAGATCGGTAGAATTTAACATTCTTTCACGCTGCATTTCACACAGCGTTAATTCAGAGTCAATTCTGCCAAGAAGAAAGGTAAACGTTACTATATACTTGTACAGGTGACCAGTTTTCTAACAGAATCGACTTGAAGATTGGTAGAATGTACCATCCCTTCACGCTGTATTTCACACAGCGAGAAGGAATGGTAAATTCTACCATTCTTTTTTTTCAGTGATCAGGCGCTGCCAAAGTTCCTTTAAAAAAATCTCGAATTATCAGCCTGGCCCGTAGCGGACCCGATTTTTACGTGGAGCCCGGCTCCACCAAAAATTCTCTCACTTTTCCCTGATTGCATTGCCCGACGTTTCCCGGTCGCTAGTCACCCCTCATCAAAAATGTAAAAAAAAGAGAATGCCTTAAAAAGCACAACTAATAACCTGCTCCGTCGACTATCGAATTTTCCTTGTAAGTTCTGCTGATCTGCAAAAGAAAGGATCATCGATTAAAAACTGCAATTATGCATGCGGGCGCATTTTAAGCAGCAACGCGTATGATTCGATCTTCTCGCGGGAAAATTAGCTCGCGAAGCTTTCGGTACTTTTCCATCGACGGCAGCGACCTCTAGATCTATTCCAGGAAGTTGTGGAAGAGAATCCACTGCTCGCGAAAAGATAAAATTCTCGGGGTGAAAAAAAAATCGGCTGCTAGATAACCTTGACGTGGAAACGTGACTTTCACGCCGTATCCGGGCTATGAGAGGTTAGGTAATAGCGAAACACGTTTCGAATCGCCTTTGTCTCTACAATGGACGACCTACAACGTGGTGCCGTTCTACGAAAAAAATCCTGTACGTCTAGGGACCATAAAATATTTGCGATTGGTCTTAAATTTGGCACTTCCTAATTTATGAAAATTTTCTTTCCTTGGATCATGATTGTTCCTAAAATCTCACTTTTCTACCGTTCTAAGGGTGAACGCCGTAGGTATATGAACATTCGAATAGCCTTTAACATAATAAAATTAAAAGTGAAACATTCATTTCTTGGAAAAGCTACTCTAATTGCTTTTCTCTGTGTTCTTCGTCTATCAGTTTCAATAATAATCAGCCCGCTGGCATCATTGAGTAAAAAATGGTGTTGTCCTTCGAAATTAACTTGCGCCTTGCCCAATTACGAGTACATTGTTTGGATTTGAAGCATGCGAGGTCTCTGAAATATATTGTCTCTGCACTTCGCGTCTAAGTACTCTGAATGGCCAGACAGCATGGGCGAGACAAGGTCCAGACCTTGCATGAAAAGGTCGATGCAGTCATCAAAGTGCACTGACCTCAGAATCAATTGCACCGTCGCGGGTCACCAAATTTAGTTACGAGATACTCGCCCGGACATACTGCAGTGGTCCTGAACAATACCGCCGTACGGTCGGGAATCTTGTGAAAAACTAGTTGCCCTACCCCCTGAATTGATGACGTCATCAATTTTCAAAGCAATTTTGACGGTGTAAACGAGGGCGCTTATGACCGCTTTAGGTACACTGTGTGAAATGATGCGGAAACTAGATAATCGATTGAAGCGCTGGGTCCATGAAAGGGCATTTCTTGGTTGCAGTGTCTCAAAATCTCTAACATTTCATCCATTATGAATAAAGTAAATGTATGTAATTTGTTGTAATTTCTACTGTGATTTTACGGTTCTGAAAACGTAAAATTTCAGAAAATGTTCCCAATAGTTTCCTCTCTAAAAAAAAAAAAAAAAAAAAAAAAAAAAAATAGCAAGGGAGACTCTAAAACATCGCAATCAAGAGGTGCCCTTTCTGCAACCAACGCCTCAATTTGATCCCAGTTTGCTACGTGGCCAGTTATGAATATTCATTCTTATTGAGGGAACTGACCGCTCTACATTCATCGAATTTCGCACGATTTTCTTTCGAATGCTGAATTTAATCGTCAAAAAGGAGAATTGCCCTTAGGTGTATTTTTTGGCTCCATAAATTATCAAAAATTCCAGGTACTCAACTGAAATTATGAACATTGAAAATTTTGCATTTTTTCAGTCATAACACTGCAAGACTCTACTTCAGTTTTGAAGTTGGTATTTTCACCGCGATACCAAGGCAATTACGCGATTTTTCCAGCGATCTTGTAAGAACACAACAAATTACACATTACGGCTTTCATGCGATAATTAATCTAGTACTTAGTTTACTTTTCAATAAAAAAAATAAGAGTGAAAATGTTGAAACACTGTAGTACAGATAGATACCTAATCCATTCAAGGCTCCCAATCATAACTTAATTATTTTTTTAAAAAAAATCTTTGAATGAGAAAATTAATCGGCATGTCGAATCTCACAGGATTTCTCTACAACGGTTTTCGCAAAATTTAAGAGTCACCGATGCCCTTATATTTTTTTCCTTCTATGACTTTGGACCCTTATAAGTTTGCCCTCTTTCCATATTTTTAGATCCTTTTTCATTTTCACTCGCTCGCCTGCTTCAACATTGGTGATCACATTAAAAACTTCGAAGTTTGAAATTAATGAGGCAAAATGACAATTAATGAGCTGGTGACTCCTGTTTAAATATTTGAAGTAAAATGAATTAAATTGTTGTTACTATACAGGCTTTTTGAAATCTTAGCAGAACTAAGTAAGTATAGACTCCTTTGAGGTCTTTCGGAAGGGTTTCAACAAGTAATATGGGGGAATAATGAACTTCAGCTGGTTGGAATGAAAAGATTTTTCCCAAAAAGTCTGTCCCCGAGACAGCTTAAAAGATTAAGGACAAAAATTTTCTTATGGACGAGTGAGTGATAAGCAGAAGTACCTACAACTACGTACTTGGCAAAATTAGTGGTATACATCTTTTTCTCTCTTTTTTTGAGGGAAAAATGAAATCTTGAGCTCATGCCCAAGAAAGGAGGAGTTGTGGGTTGATATCTCTCTAACTTCTCCATGTTATTACCTTTCTTTTCGAGAGAGCTCATGTTTTCGTAAGCCATTTCCACAGTCAAAAATCATTGTGCTCACAGCTGGTGTTGGGAAATTACTTAAACTGATAATGTTAACTATCAATAATAGGTTGTACTGGCTCCATACCCACTGGATGTCATAATCTCTGACACACGGAATTTCATCTCTAAATTTTGTTGTAGGTAAATATATTTACATAAGCTTCTTCAATAATGAGAACCTATGCTCTTTGTCATGTACCTATGTCAATGGAAAAATGGAAAACAATTTTATTGAATAAAACCCAAATTACATTCTCTTACAGGCATGGTGGTTGAAAAGAGAAGTTCCTGGAGATACTTCTGATGGAGCAAATGAAAGCAACGGAAAAATAAACCAAAATAATAGGTACTGAAAAGGTTGGTTTGAACAGTACCTAAGTAAAATCCAAATAGGAGCATTCTTTAGTACACCTAAATTATTTAAAATCTGTGTTGCTTACAATTTTTATTTTTACATCGAATTTAATTGATAAGGAAACCTGTGAGAGAAGCCTGGGTGTAGAAAATTATCAATCATGCATCCGCCCGGGCGACTTAAAATGTGGGAAGGCCCTTACAATTGTTGATGGAGAGAAAATCTGTAAGGGTTAAAAGTTAAATCAAAGGAAGGAGGTCCTCGCATCGGAAATCAGTGGGGAATTTAGTAAAAAATTGATGAAAAAAAGGTTTAAAGCCAGCAGACGGGCACATGTAAACAAGGAAGCATGGAACATTCTGCGCCCCTGGAGAAGAGTGGTTCTTGCGTCAACAAATATTGACCATTAGACCCTGAGGCTATATAGGGTTCTCCTGCCTTATAGATCACAAGAATCTGATTGCCTGCACTTCAAATCATTTCTGCTTGAGGTTAGGATTGCACATAGCCTTTCGGCATCCACCTTCAAGGAGCGATCCATGCATTCCACTGGAGCGCACGGAACAGGCTGGACCACAGCAGTAGACTAGGATAAAAATCGACGCAGTTCATTGCGATCCTCTGTGTATTGGATAAAAAACAGCCCTCTAGTGGAGACTGCAGCTCCCGTAACTTATGAATGGAAACAGGCTTTATATCTGAGTCCACCGATTATCAGCGGACTGACGCGGGGTGCAAGACGACTACACAGAGCTCAGTTTGTAAAGTCCATGAATAATTACAGGTTTTGTTTCGACCAAAAGGTTTTTGCACTCAGTACTGGATTGGTGAGCTTTTGTCTTAGAGTTTCAGCAGGAATACTGGGGCCTATTTTCGCATAGATGCTATCTATGCACTATCACAAGCGCTACGTTGGTGAGGTTAGGTTCAAACTCAGAAACATAATTATGTAATTCGGTCAAATAGGAATTAATAATTAATATTACTGGTTGGAGAATGTGTAATGTTGCTCGGTACAACTATCTGGGAGCATTTGGGTGTTTCAAGATGTGAGAAATGCTGGACTAAAACATATTTCAACTTGGGAGGATGGATTTAACAGATACATTGGCGGATTAGATGCAGTAGTAACGGAAAAAGTGCAAGCGAAATTTGGAACAACCTGGACACGGAGAATTCAAAAAGTACTGAAAAATCGGACTTACAGACTAGCCGGTTGGTGTTATCAGAAGAGAAGGATCATGACGTTAGGCACCAAGAGAGAATGGTAACTTAGGCGCTTCCTTTGAGACACAAGCACCTGGGTGTGAAAATAATCCGATACGGTACTGGAAAGAGAAGCTGAGATCACAGTAATCCTGAGGGATGAAACAGAGAACAGACGCCGGGCACTAGAGCACTCTCGGGATGCGAACGATTGGGCTTGCCGAAATTCCACGCTGATTCCACGTGATGGCTCGGACGGTTCGCGATTTGCAGAACTACCTCCCACGCGTTCAGAAGAGAGAAGGAAACTGAAAGAAAAGGCGGGGACGGCTGAACTGTCGGGCAAACTAATCGGCCGATAAGCGGTAGACGTGCGAAGTCCGATGGCCCGATCGAAAATGAGTCCGGCCGGGGAAGTGTGTCAACACGGTCACGTATGCACCGGCATCGGACATCGGAGACGACGTTCGCGAAGTTGATTGGTGGACGTCACCACGCCGGCGCACGTCACAGCGCCGCGCATAGCTTTTTCGGGACATTGTTGCCACGCGGCGAGAGCAAAGACCGCGAAAGAATTTTAAAATCCTCATCACTAAAGGATAGAAAGTAATAATTCCATTAAAGTAGCGTAAAAATTGTCTTTTCATGCATTAAAATAATGAGGCGCTCACAAAAGTTGTTCCATCATCCGGAAACCCAAAAAATTGACCCTGGATGAGGTTGAAAGGATACCGAGTAATGAAAGTTGCCTCTGCTCTAATTGAAGGGGTAACAAGGGCCAAAGGAGCTTATATCTGCATTGCAACTTTACGAAGTTTCATTTACCAAGCAAGCGGCTGTAATTTTTTTCTTTCTGCTTTTTTTAAAAATTGTTTGCATGTATTCTTAACGTGATGATGAAAATTTTCTGAAATTTTTGAATGTAAAATATGCAATCGTTGTTGAATGGGGGATCAATTCAACAGTTCAAACTCTGAAATGCTGAAATGCAGTAGCCCTCATACCTTCAATCAATTCACATCTTGGATTCAGAACCGGTTTTGTCGATACGGAGATGTAAATTTTATGATTCAACATTACTGGGTATCTTACCTGCCAAAAATTCAGCATCAAAGTGGATCTAAAAATTTTACGATTGACTCGCCTCGACATTAGGTTTTACCACAACCATATGTGGATGAAACCTCCAGGCTCCGGGGAAAAGGGAGGAAAGAACCCTTTTTGAAAGCAGTTGCATTTTTATACATTGAAACTTTCAGTGGTAGCGTCATCGGAGGAGAGGGACCGAAGTCAGGTGTGCGGTGCGACGATCCTCTCTGATGAGGGCGACCTTTGAAGCTTTTTCAGGGTCTTTGATGGAAATGCTAAATAATCACCATTTTTGATGAATTTGAAGAGCAGAAAATTATGAGTGCTAACTTTTTACAAATTGAACTTTCAGCACTTTTTTTCGTGCAGTTATTTATCCATCTAAAAATTTATGAAAACCCTGCCTTCAAACTGAAAAGTTGGAACTGTCCTGATTTTTAAGTTCTTAATTTTTTCTTCCTGGAAAGACTTGCCCTTTGAGCCCTGGTCCACAAATTTTTTCGAGAAGTTAGAGAACTCAACATGCATGCGACTAGAATATCAAACGAGAGAGGAGAGGGCTTCATTGCATTTGGTTTCACTGGAATTATTGACTTTTAATTAATCTCACTAGAGAAATTAATTTGTTTAAATTAATTGAAGGTATAGAGTGTGTATTATTCACCGAAAATATCAGAAAAAGTTCGTCAAATTGGTAAATAGTAAAAAAAGGGAAAATGTGAAAATGTTTTGGGGGAAATGAATGCATTTCCGATGAAACTTTGTGAAGTTGCGATGCAATCAAACCCCTCGGCTCTCACCTCTTTATATAATGATGTTTAAGGCAAAATCACTCTCCAAAGAGAGTGAAATTTTCATTTCGGGGCTTCATCAATAGAGGTTTGGATCGGGCTAAGCAACTAAACTAACTGCGCGGCAAAGCGTAGAGTATCATGCAAAAATGAAGGCACCCAGATACGAGGTCACGTATGTACTTGAGGAGTTCTCTACGTGTAGGGTGGAAATCTTCTGTACATCTTTTATCATAGAACACCCATGCATTCATTTGAATTGTTATTTTTTTTTAAAGCTCATACATGTTTGATACGCTGAGCTTGTTGACGTCTTAACTAGATAAAATATAAATCCCTCCATGCGGGCGCTCAAGAATGAATAAGTGCTTGAATTTGGAGGGATTTTTCCCTTTAATCATCGATTTAATCAGTAATTTGGTGCTTTGATGTTTGGATTTTCAAAGTTTCGCCAGTATTACATGGGGAGGTTTTCAAGAAATTTAGCTCTAAAATTCGCTGAAATACATTCTATGATTCGCTTGTGGAAGTGTTTTCGCGCGCTTTAGCTCTCAAAGCGCGTGACCAATCAGAAAATGGATAGTCCATTTTTGATTGGTCGATCGCTTCCCCGCGTAAGACGGGGATGCGAGTACCCGCTTTGATTCTAGGTCACCCACTCTAGGTTACCCTGATTAGACAGATGTAAACATTGCATTTTGCATTATGAATTGCGATTGTGATAATGGATTAAAAGTTCGATTTTCTCGAGTTGAAAATTAAGTTTTCTTCGAAAGCAGTGAAACATTGATGGGGAGTCTTAGCCTTTATTCATTCGACGACTCAACAAGCTCAGGTAAAACAATTTTTGATAACAAAATCACGCTGTGGCTGTGAACTAGTAGTGAAACCCATCCTAAAGAATGCTCCATCGTTCATCCGGGTGTTCCACTTATTTAAGTAATCATTCCGTGTTTTATTCAAGTATGAAATTGTACGGTTTCAAAGTAAAGAAGTATTTAAATTAATCTTTTTTTTATGTTACAAGGAAGTACCATTGGAAGGAAGTGGCCACAGCTGCATCAAATTAAGCGGATGTCTCCCAGACATGGGTGAAACTGGTTGTATTCATCTGAAAAACTTTAAGGCTGCAAAAGGCGTGGATCATTATGAAACCATCAGTAGTATTTTTACATGGCCCACGTCTCCGAAGTACCGCAAAGCTAAGGTTTGTGCAATTTTCTTTTGACTCTTTCTTTTATGCCTGGGTTTTCATGAGACTTAAAAAAAAATGAAAACTGCGCACTCTGATTTTCTTTCTTAGAGAAAGGAGATTAGGTATTGAAAAAATTTGTCCTTTCTGCTTTACAGCATTGTTACGTCTATGTTATGAAAATTTGAAAGACAGGGTACTTTTAGTGTTGAACTATACTTACTTCTTTGCAAGGTAAATTTGTTAATTCAAGTGAAGTGAACTCAACGCTTATTCTCTTTTTATTTTTTTCTAGGCGCTTTGTTGCTTCTGCCACATCTGTCAGTATCGTGGCCCCCTCCTGCTGACATGTTTACACTGCATTCATTTTGCTTGCTTCGGTGGAAAGCACATTCATGAACACAGCAAAAGCAAGAAACATTTTCTAGGTTTGTCACTGTTTCCTTTTCCCTCTTCTTTTTATCGTAACTATCGAGTGTTAGCTATCTGGTAATTTTCAGCATAAGTGAGTGCCTCAGAAACACACTAATGATTTCATTCGAATAATAGACTGCTGAGAATCTTAGCCCTTCTCAACTTGCCAAGAATACGGTTTCTCAGCAAGTATTCCTAAGTAAATTTTTATATTAGCAGTTTTAGGACAAAGTATCAAACTTCAGAGATTCTTACTCCCATTAAAAAAAACATCACTCTATAAAAATGGTCGATCAGTCGCTTTATTTTGAACAGATATCAATGGTGTAAGTTGGCAATCACAAAATTTGGTTTTCGACGTCGCACACTTCCTATCATACTTTATTTTTCAAACGGAAAACTACTCAACGGCAATTCTTTAAAACTGCTGTGATTTTTCACTGCAAAAACTTCAAGGAATGATAACAATCTGTTCTCCTTTAAAAAAATAACATAGAGGTGGAGATTTTCAGGCGCCGCAAACGAGTTATGTGATTGCCGACTTAAACTGCCGATATACAAAATACACCTAGATGAGTTAATTATTTTTTTTCCTATTCATTTAGGTATTTATCTTAAATTGATTGAAAAGAATATATCATAGCTTTAATGCTCCCAATCAAACCAGAGTTTATTCTAATTATTGGAAGCATAAAGTTACCCTCTATCATCATTGTTTCAGCGGTCAATGTATCATTTGGAAACATATTCTGTTTTCAATGCGGAGATTATGTTTACGACAAAGAGTTGTTCCATATCAACCAAAAGAACAAAGCCACTGCCTACAAGTCTCTGGGTTTACCGTATATCAATACTTATAAAGATCCCTACTCTACTGAAAAGACACTTCTTCGACTAAATCCTGTGAAAAAACCCGCAACCAACTACGGAGCCGTAGGTGAGTTGATCGTTAAAATGGGCAAATCCTCAGAAGATTGCTCAGAACTCTTTCTTTCGCTGATAGTTTATTGTAATTACATTATGAATCCATATCAATCCTTCTCTCTCCTCTCATTGCACAACATAATTTATTAATGGTCTCCAGTGTGTATTTCTCTTCTGACAAAAGGTATGTACTAAGACCCTCCTCGAAGAGTCTAAGATTCATCACCGTCCCCAGATATCTGGACAATGCCGGTGAATCGCAGTTGTGCCCTTGAACTATTGAAAATTGTCAGCTTTACATTAATTTGTTCTTACTCATAAAATTATACTGTTCATCATGAGTGATTTGTTCTTGCACTTTAATAACTGGAAAATTGACCTATCTATTTGTCTTGCCTGTTATCATTAATGAATTTCTAATTTTAAGCCTCTATTTTTTCAGGGCTTAGAGGACTTCTAAATTTAGGAGATACCTGTTTTATCAACTCAATTGTACAAGCTCTCACCCACACCCCTCTTTTGCGGGACTATTTCTTGAGCAAAAACCATGTCTGTCATTTTGAAGACGATCGAACAAAGTGCTTAGTCTGTGAAATCGTTAACTTATTTCAAGAAGTAAGTATCCATGTGCAAATTTAATGCATTATTTCAAAATTGTTCCAACTTAATCTTTACCGCAGTCCACTGGCGAACGACATTAAACTCAGTGAACTACTCTACTTTCACTGTACTAATAAGTACTGCACCATTACTTTTCACTACTTAAGTTACTCTACTGAGGTCTGTGATTTTAGTGCATTTTCTAATACAACTCAGTGAAAACTAGGACAAAATTTCATCAATGATTTCATCTTGATGGCTTTTTTACCAACCAATCAAAGCCAAATATAATTTATTAGGTTGAAAAGAACTATGAAACAACTAATTCAATGTATCTATCTGAAACCATCATTTGGTCGTAAGAAATGATACTTATGACTTCCATTAACTCTAAGTTTCTGTTATAGTTTTACTCAGGTTTAGATTCACCTTTGATTCTTCACCGCTTTCTCCACCTAATTTGGACACACGCAAGACATTTAGCAGGATATGAACAGCAAGATGCTCACGAGTTTTTCATCGCAACGTTGAATGTTCTTCACCAACAATGTAAAGATACAAGCCAAGCACCTAACGGAGACATTCCCAAGAATTCTAATCACTGTACATGTATTATCGATCAAATTTTCACGGGAGACTTACAGTCAGACGTTGTTTGTCAAGCTTGCAAGTAAGTATGTTCTTCATCCTTGGTGTTGTTTTTAAATCTGATAGGAGCAAGAAAAAAGGGCTACTGAAGTAAAGAGGTTAAATTTGTTGTAACTGTAAGCCATTACCTGTAGAAATGGCTCTGAACCATTCGCTATCAAGGAAGTTATAAAAATGAAACTGTTTTGAATTTTCCTCAGGGTTTTTTGGGTTATTTTACAATTCAAAATTATTGTCTCCAAGCTGTGAATTGGAATTGTATCAAATTTAACTTCTTCATCTTAAGTTCTGTTCACCTCACTCTTGTCACAAATATTCAGCAATACCTTGGAAGCTCAGGATTAGAATCATGAAGAATGTGCTTGGAATTTGATTGATTTTAAATGTTTTGCAATGCCTACTTCACCGACTACTCAATAAAAGTAACGTTAAAACATCAATATGAGACCATCACCTGTTAACATTTTTCTATACCCAACTCATTAATGTGGGCTTTTTAGCAAATTTTTGAGAAAGAATGTTGCTTTATTTATTATTTTCCCTAACTGACTGCCTGCCACAGTGTTCTGGGTACATATTTCTCCGTGGCCATAATGTCAAGGGATAATCTTTTCCTTACCGAATTTTATTCAGCAGGTATTTTTTTTTCATCCTAAAACAATGACCATTTCAGTCTTGTGCCCATTTAAGGTGTTTAATATATACTAAAAATGAAAATAAAACTTGATGAAGACTTTCCGCTTCTGTCTTAGTAATATCCTGCATGCACTCGCATTTTTTTAATAAGTTACTGCAAATCCTAATATTTCTTTCTTTTCCCTTTCAGCGGTGTATCCACAACAGTTGATCCATTCTGGGACATATCACTCGACTTAAGCGGTGGTGTTGCAGTTGAAAAAGAGACAAAAGACCAGAAACCTCTGACACTGGCAGACTGTTTGCGGCAGTTTACTCGCCAGGAGCATTTAGGATCCAAGATCAAATGCAACAATTGCAATAGTTATCAAGAGTCAACAAAGCAGTTGTCCATGCAAAAACTACCAGTTGTTGCTTGTTTTCATTTAAAGGTATGTTTCACAGCAAAGATTTTTATTCTTCACTGTGAATTAATTTTGTCAATGTAACAGGGTCGAACAGCATTCAACTTCCCAAGTCTCTATCCTGGCTTGAGAGGCTCGATATAAGTTCAATCTGTTGTTTATTTGTGAGAAGATCTGTGAAAAGGGACTCTATCTTCCTTGGAGAAAATTTTCATTATTTCTTTGCAACTGCATGAGGAAAAAACTTCAAATTTGGGGCAAGTTTGACCCTAAAATCTCAAAAATTTAAGGAGATATTATTCCCAAAGTTTAAAGACAAAAATTCGTAGGTTCTAGAAAACGCAATTTCAGTGTTCGCAAAAAGTTGAGGCAGATTTTCTCCTGGAAGATGTCCCTTTTCATAGATCTGGTCACATTTCACTTGTTACTATATTGATTCAGTGGCCAGTGTCTAATAAATGGATTGCATTCTGCAAAAAAGAACCAAGAGCATTCCAATGTCGCTAAAATTGTGCAACTTTTTTACCTTGCAAATATATACTGACAGTCAAACCAAGTATTATCCTTACTCCTATTAAACTATGAATTCAAGACAAAAATTATCTTTGTAAATTTAATTTGTTGAAAAGAATGGAAGTTGCACAATCTTAGCAATATTGGAATGTTCTTGGTTCATTTTTGCAAGATGCCATTCAAAGAGTTCTACTAATATGTACATTGTAGACATCATACTTCAACAATATTGTCCCAGACATTCAGGACAATGCAGGCCTTACAAGCTTGGCTGAGGTGTTTTTTGCAGATAAAAAAATGCTTCAAACTACCTCCGAGGGTCAAGTTGCAAGTTCTCCACCCTTAATGGAGCTCTGTTTCGAAAATTATGTTAGGTGTTGACGACAAAAAAAGGCCTGAAACAAATGTAAAAAATGGCTGTCCCTTCAGATCATGTAGAACCTGTTGAAACTTGGCCGCACACCTGCAGCATCAAAATATTTCCACATCCCTCAATTACCAAGCCTTGTTAGCGTCATCACGTTAACGGAAAAAATGATCAATTATGAAGTCCAAGTTTCACCCTTAAAAGCATAGAATACTAACTGCAAGTCATCTTTCCGAAATTTTTGATGTCTAAACTTAATTTTCCAATTTTTTTTGCAGAGATTTGAACATTCAAAAATCGTGAAAAAGAAAATTACAACAAGCGTATCATTTCCGGAATTTCTAGACATGACACCTTTTTTATCAGAGCATCGGCAAGCGGTGGCCAATGGACTTGACTTATATCCCCCTCACCTTTCATCAGAAGATAACAGGTTAATTGCTTTGTTTGTTCAGAAGTTCAAAATAAGTGTGCCGATCCGTCATTTATATAAATAAATTTGCAATTAATATGTAGAATGCAATAATTTGATTTTTTCATAACTCATGAGATTTGGATAAATGTCATTAGACTATCTCTCTTTTCTTTAATTATTTTTCAACATCATCAAACAGCATCGTAAATATACCATAGTAATCAAATTTTCGCAGGTATCACAAAAGTTTCTTTTTATCCTCTTTTTGATGACACACCCTTTATGAGACGTCTAACACTGTTCAAAAGATAAAAAAGACAAAGCCATCCCAAGTTCTCTTGCCACTTTTTATGCCAGCTTCGATTGTTTGTACTTATCAATGATTGATGAATTATTTGCAGGTATTCTCTGTTTGCTGTGGTGAATCATATAGGATCTCTAGACTTGGGCCATTACACTGCCTTTATACGGCACAAGAAGGATCAATGGTTCAAGTGTAACGACGATCATATCACACAAGTCAAGAAGTCAGATGTTCTTGCCAGTGAAGGGTACGTTTCTTTTCTTCCAGGGAAATTTTATGGCTTTGAATGTCACAGAATCTTTCAAATTCTTTTCTTGCAAAATTCTGTACTTTACACCACTGCCTAAGGCATGCATAAACGTTTCAGAACATTGTTTTAAGCAGACATGAAAATTTTCCCAGTATTTGCGCCTATCTTACCTTCACCTAGAAGCTTTTTAAGTGAAAAAGCACTAATTGAGAAATAGGCTCCAAATCACAGATATGCATCCATCTTCACTAAAAATTCTCTGTATTGGGAAATTTCAGCAGTTCTCAAATTTTAATTTCTATTTTATAATTTTTAAGCTTTGACCTGTGGGCGTGATTTATGATGTCCCTTTATCAGGACTGGAATATTAAAGTATTGTTTGAAAATGAAGGAACGTTCATTGGAGGTTCTCTCATCAATAGTACAAATCAATATCATGGTTTGTGCTTCAGTCAATCATGTATAGAAATGTGTAAAATAATGAATTATGTCACCAAATAACAGTCTTATTGTTATCTCATTTGGCATTAATTCTTCAAAAATCTTGGGGAAAAAACCATAATATATATTTTATTGATCAGATGATCCAGGATTTGTCAGTTAAATAGTATAGTAATTTCTTATTCAATTCTTTTCAGGTACTTGTTATTTTATCATAAAAGAATTTTGGAGTATGAATAAGCAACTTCTACTGGGCCCACCTTTGCAATAACCTCTGGCAGCACTCGATATTGCTGTGAATCTGGTCATCTGACTGTTATCTGTCAGCAGTAGTCAAGAAAGCAGGTCTATCCTATTCAGAAATTCTTGTATTTTCTCATTTGCTTCGTTTAGGTTGTAAGTCCAAGCAGTGAATGTGCTCATTGCCTCCTTCTAAGAAGTAGTGAGTTTCCTGGAGGAAATATACATACTATTTTTCTATTTTCTGTTCCTAATTTTCATAGTTACTCTGAAAATTCAATCAGGGGTGCAAAAAGCGCCTGATCTCTATCTATGGATCATACGAAAAATTGTCAAAGAATTGTGACAAAACATGAGGTAATTTCCAAAAGATGTAACTTTTTTTATCCTAGAGTGAATCGCTCATTTTCCCTTGGAATCAGATATTTTTTCTATAGGCATTAAAGCGTGGGTGTAAGAAACGGTAAGAATTTTAGAACTTCTTGCACCCCAAAATTAGCTTGCGAAGCAAGCAACTGCAAGACAAGAAGGCTAAGCCTTTAGTTGTATGCAGGAGGAAGAAAGCAATCTGCATTTACAACTGACGTGCAAAATTTTGATTACTGTGAAAAGGAATCAAATTTTTTCATTATTCAGTTCACTATCGGTTAGTTTATTTTATTATTTTTCGTGTAGAACGGTATTAATTCACATGGTTGCATGATATTTTAGTATAATTTGCCAACAAATCACTACATATTTTTATATTGTATTTCCTTTCAATCTGTGAAATGCATGATTTGTTTAATTTATTTTGTCTTACTACTTCACTCCTGTGATAGTTCATGTCTTGACAAAGATGCTTTAAGTGTTTTTGAAGGTTTGAAAACCCCCATATACATTGGAAGATTAAATTGGCCCTTGCTTTGGTATTTTCTAGTTGCCTATTTTTGAACATGTATAAGTTAACATGTCGATGGCTAACGAACAATAACGCTTATCTGCAAACTGACGATTTTGCAGGATGAAGAGAAAACGTCGCCATTTTTGTAATTTTAATGATAGATTTGCAATTTTTTCATACATTACAGCATTATAGAAGTGCTCCCTTACAGAATTGGAAAAAAACTGCAATCATCAGCTTGGGTATTTCAAACTGTAGAATGCGGCAAAGTCGCTAACTCATTTTTGCCAAATTTGTCAATAAAGCGGTACTGTTTGCTACGCCTCGATATACATCTGAACATGGAATATTTCCTGCAAGAAGCTCTCAGGGTAATTTTACATTTTCATCCACCAAAATCAGGTAAAATATATCAATGGCAAAATGTTAACAGTCTGGCAGACCATGAGAATCCTCCTTCGTAGAATTTTGTATTTTTGAAAAAATTTATCTGTGACATTTGAATGGCCGAAATTAGGGAAAAGCATTTTTCTTGCTTTCGACTGATAAGTCTGGGCTTTCCTATTGCTTATTACGATTTAAGTACTTATCGAATGTTAAGTCTTTCACTTAGTTGTTCATTATCTTTGGATATATACACTAGTGTTAGTAATTTCATAAAAAAAAACTATCTGAACATTAATCCTCTTTGTTTATAAGTTTGCCTGTGATTTTTCTTTTTCATTTATATTTTTATTTCGAGTCACATCTTTAAGGAGTGCAAAATCGAAATGAGTTAAGAGAGAAGGGGCATTTTTTCCCTTTCCCTCTTGTTATAATTTTTTTTTTCTTTTTTTTCTACATCTTTCATATTCATTTATGATGTGGTTAAAAACATTTTACAAATAAAATCTTAACATTGCTAGTAACGAATACTATTTTTCTTTTTTATTAAACCTAAACTCAGTTATGGAGCTCATGTAAGTCAAGTTGTAAAAACAAGGTGAAGAAACCCTGAACAAGTTTTGAATTTTTGCTTTGAAAAATGGGAAAGTAATCAAGGCAGATAGTGATGGTAAAAGTTCTTTATTTTTCACAGATCATTTAAACCTTTACGTGAAGAAGACGGTAGATGAAGAGAGAGATAGGTACATTGACTTCCGAACATGTACATGATGAACGAGACTTTTTCTTACAACTTAAATTTTTAAAGGTGTCAAAATGAAGCTTTTGTAAAAGGAACATTATCATGTCTTCACCTCTAATTTTTTGAATAGGGTATCGTCTATCATGACTGTTAGAAGCTGGATTAGTCACCTCGATCTACAGTTTTGGCCTTTCATAATTTCCATAGGCTTTCAGTCTTTGCAAACTTTAACTTTTTTTCATAATTATATTTAGAGATTCACCCAGATGGTTTTCATGATTTTTTAGCTATTGGCAGGCACTAATCTCTTGATGGAGTCTGCTACCATCAAATTTTCCAGTCATATCCCAGATTTTATGCCTGCCACAAAGTGGTTCTCTAAATGCATGGAGGATCTTTTAGGGTTGAGTTGAAGTGCAATTAAGGAGGCCTTTCAGTCTACTTTTATATCATTGAACCTTTTGCTATTAAAATCTGTAGAATGCAGTAGAAATTGAGAATCTAAATATCTAGGTGTTCATTGTCAGTTTTAGCTTTGTGCATATTACCACACACAAAAAAAAAACAAAGTTTTTTCAGATAGAATAGGCTGTGTTTGGACATATTTCCTACAAAGGTCGTGGTTTATCAGGGAGTTCTCCTCTGATTGGAATAGGTCTACCGCTTTGGTCGTTTCCAGCGGGAGGATGGTCACGCAGATAATCCCGACACATCACCAACGACTCATCTTCACCTCGAGGACAGTCTTGCTGATCGTCACAGATCCATGATTTTGGAATGCATGCTCTGTTGGTGTAGCTGGCATGACTTCCACCCACACTGCTTGCACACTGAAAAGGCAAAAAAAAAAAAAAGAAAATGTGTTCAGATACCTCATTTCTTCTTTGCTTTAATTTTATTTTACACCCTTTGTCTCAACCGAAGTCGATCTCTATTTTGTATGTGTTGCAGGCATACAGTTAAATCAGGCATTTTGTCAAATGCCCAGGAAGATAGTCAAATATTCTAATGTAGATTCAAATTCTGATTATTTTCCTAATTTTAAACAAAATAATTCATTGCCGCCATAAGAAGGAATTCTCAGTAGAAATGTGTATCGTGCAATAGTATTTTAAATTATTGTTAGCTCCTGAATCCTTAGTCCTCCTTATATCTTGGAATTTTCAGCATGCCATGAAATGCAGAATTTTTAACATTCAAATATAAGAAGCATTTGAAGAGGAAAAAACAAGAAGAGTTTGTAGATTTGAGTCATTTTCCCCAAAATTTGTAAAACTCGTAAGCTCATCGCCATATTATAAAATTTCGTCACCTGTCAAAATTTGACCACCTATCTACCAAGGCATATGATAAAATGCCTGATTTGACCAGTTTCCTGCTACATATGCAAAATACCTATAGCCAAGAAAGTAAACTGTAATTGAGTAACGGAACAAAACATAAAGATTAATTTGAAATAATCTTAAATTTTCAGAAAATAAAAGTGAAAAAACCCCAAAAAATCTGATTTAGAAGGTGATTAAAGATCTTACCCTGAACTCATAATGGTTGTCACACTGACGATTCCAGCTAGCGCAGATTCGCTCATCTGAACCGTCTCTGCAGTCATCTTCATTATCGCACACATAGCGAGGGTGAATACAGTCTCTGTTATCCCAACAATTAAACCAAGAATCTGCGCAATCACGGTCGTAATTGTTGGTGTAAAAATTTGTTGTGTGCCCAGGTGTGAACTGACTGTACTGATTACCACAGTTGAATTCGTCTTCATCCCACCTATGATCGTTTCAAAACAATGCGATTAGATTGAATTTGATAAAATGAAAAAATGATTAAAAAAAAAAAAAAAGATCCTTCTCGTCCAGTGAGATGTCGATAATGTGGTACAATGTACGTGAAATGACCTTAAATTATTTTATTTTTTGACTGTTTAGAGTGGTCAGAAACATGTTTTTGAGCAAAACATTTCAACATATTGTTTTCAGTGGGAGCTCGATTCCTAAACCGATGACCGATGTACGAAATCACGTATCTTCGTTTGTGATGGTGCAGAATTCCTGTCGTACCTACTTTATTTTTTCTTCGGAAAACTAGTCGGCATCACTTCTTGAAAACTTCCTTGATTTTTCTTCTCTGTCAGATGAATCTTGTGTATACATTTCAAGCTATAGTGCTGCCTTCTTCCTCTACGAAAAAATAAGATAGGAACGGAGATTTGGAAACACCGCAAAGGAGATATGTGGTTTCGCACTCTGTCCATCGGAATCCTAACTATAGCCATTAAAGCCTGATTGGGTCCCACTACCTAGATCCGTGATGCTTTCAAGGAAATGTTTTTAGTGGAATTTTTGCACCATTTGGCAACGCTACCGCGATGCAACACTGCTTATTCAGACCCCAAAGATTTCATTATGGACACAATTGTAAATGCAACGTGCAAAATCCTCGTGAAACCGCAGCTGCATGCCATACATCGCGTCGCGCGTCGTGCTCAAGAAAACCAAAACGCCTGCAATTTTTTGTGTATGCAACACAGACATCCCAAGAACACGAATAGTTGCATTCAGAGCTAGCCATTGAAATAGCCGAAGCGCCTTCAATTTTTACCGCTTGTGAGACCAAAATGTGTCGCTCGTTGCATTCCTACGTCCGTACAAGGATAGGGCGGTTTGAGTATTCATATTTAATCAAATTGAAAATAAGAAATAAGTAAACTAATAATAAATATATGGATAAGATGGAGACTGTTTATGCGGCAGTTAATCGTCTGACTTCATCGGCAATTGCACACTTGAGCTTCATCCAAATCTTCCCATCGTTATTTTTACGCGGAAATGGGCCGCGTTAAGCAGCTAAGGAACCAAGCCACACCAGCTATTGCCAAATTTAATAGGGAAATTTAATTTTTTACATGAACACGGTTGTGGAGATGTTGTGCAAATTTCAGTGAATTTTTTGCATAGTACAAATGAATTCCTTAAAATTTTCAAAGGAATCCGCACAAACGTTTTCTTTTATGAAAGTTAAATCGCTCAGTTTCTTGCAATAGCTTATGAGGCTTGGTTCTGTGCTAAACGCGGTCCGACTTGTATACCATCTTCCATTTGTGGCAACGTTGCCGAAAAGTACTATTTGCGGGCCAATAGCACTAGGGTACCTACGTAGCGTAGCCCCCTAGTACTTTAGACTCGTACTTGGATAATATTAAATATTCTTACCCATCCTCGCAGTCTACCCTGCCATCACACAACCAGGAGTTGGGCAAGCAAAGGCTTTGGCCTCTTGAGCGACATCTGAACTCATGTCGGCGGCACTGACCGCGATTGTAGTAATTATTGCTTGGATTGTTGTAGTAACCATTCACAGAATTGCAACGAAACTCATCGTCTCCATCTGTAATCGATTTCTTAGTTAATTTATTCATAGTCACAATCACGTAGGTACCTACCGTAGAAATTAATTATCTTATCTTAGAGAAATTTTGACTTGCAAATAGTTGTAGTTTGCCCTACTCTGAGAAAACGTCGTTTGAACATTCGAGAGTTACCACACTTCCTCCCACAAAATCTTTATTTTTAAGGAGAGTTAGAATATTTTTTTCTGGAGATTTTCAGATAATTTAGATTTGATTACAAATATAATTCTTTGTAAAGCTGGGTGAAAAATATTCTCAGATTTCCTTTAAAATTTGTATTTTATTAAAGAAAATCTGGCAAAGTTTGAAGATTTAAACGGCGTTCATCCTTAGAAAAGTAGCCTCGAGGCTGAGAAAAACAACGAGAATTGAAAATTTTAAATTTACGAAGTCAGCAATTTAGTCGTAAGCCTTTGCCAGATTTTTTTTTTTTTTTTTTTTTTAAATATAAGGAGCCATTGTTCGAGTGACCGTTAAAAATTCTGTAGAGGTAGGACTAAAATATCATACTTGCGCAATCCTCTTCGCCGTCACACTGCCACTCAATCGGCACGCAAATGTCAGAATTTCTGCAGGCATAACCTTCAAAAACATCTCCATTTGCATAGCACCGTACTGAGTTACGGCGATTGTTGTACAAATTGGGTCGGAGAAAGTTGGAGAATAAACCACCAAATCCATTTCCGAAACCGCTGTTGCCAAATCCAAGACCTACATTAGAAAACAGAAGATTGTCAGCTGCACTTTATAATGAAAAATGAGAACGGAGATATTTTTTTTTATGTTTCCAAAAAATTGTAGCAAGTAATGTAGTTGTACAAGTTCAATGTACCACAGGAAGATTTAAAGTCGTGCAAAACTTTTCTTGGAAACTTTTCTCGGAACTTTGCGCGAAAGTTAAGTTCCTTAAACCTATCTATGTGTGGACAAGGCCTTCCATTCATAAGAAATGAACGAAAAAATTATGAGAGAACAAACATAAATGTGGTTTAATAATTTTAACTTCCGCCGCTGCGCCGGGCTGATCGCACTGTGATTGGCGCAATGCGTGAAGTATTCCTGCAGTCTTGTAGGCGCTACGCGTTTCACGCCAACCGCTCCTGACCGCTCTGTGTTCGATGCAACGGGTGAAGTATTCATGCAGTCTTGTAGGCGCTAATATGTGTTACATGTCGCATGTCGACCGCCGTGCCGAGGGCTTGACCTTTTCATCTCAAGTCCTCGTCATCATTCCTCTCTACGCTGAGCTCCAGGCCAAATTGCGTGTTTAATTCCTCTCTTAACTCGACTAATTAAAGATGCTGTCTCTTTTATCACCGAGCAACGATAAAATTTGAAATTACTATACTCTCAGGAAAGAGAGATTTTGTCCCCTTTTCTCATTGATAATTTTTTTTCTGAATCCGATTTTTAAGCGCTCAGCCGATAGGCAGCGCTTTTTGATTTCGACTTGCCTCTAGAGTACTAGTATACTAGTGCTAATTCGTTTAAAAGGCGCACCAGCTCATCGATGTGTAGGCTTTTTTGGGGGGGGGGGTCCATTTTTAAAATAAATAAAGCTGTGAAAACTTTATTTTATGCTTTTAACGTAATGCGCAGGTAGTTTCGATCGTTTGTCTATAAGAAAATGTCTTAGCGGTAGAGTAATTCTTATCGAAATTGATCGTTGAACTTAAATGAAGCCTAAAAAAAAAAAACGCGCCTGATGAGCTCAACGGTGACTATCATTTTCGGGAAACGAAAAAACGCGTTTACGGTTTCCTTGGTAACCTTTGTTTGCTATCAGCTGATATTTTATTTCCATTTCCCAACCAAGTCGACGGAGTTTATACTTCCTTTCTTCACTAAATACATTGACTAACACCTGAGCGCTTTTCTAATACGACAGTATTAGAACTCTCCCGCTTGTTTTTATACCTACATTTAAAAAAAAATTTCAGAATTTGCCGCCATGGGCCGCGGCCCATGTGGCCAGCCCCTTAATCTGACCCTGTTTCAACTCACCAAATATATCATTCAAAGGTTCAGCGCCCTCGGGTGCATCTTGTGCGGGCGCAGCCGCCGTCTCGTTCTCCAGGAGCTCGGCGGCGGAGCGGAAGAGTTCCAACTGTTTGAGACTGGCGTTGACGTTCGTGCTAACATCACCGGTATAAATATTGATATAGTTGACGTTCTCCATGAGTATATCCCCGTGCTCGTTGACCGAGGAGATCCGCTTGAGGGTCACCCGGATGAGCTCGTTGCGCTCAATCCGCGAGAGGGTCACGATCTTGATGGGCGGGAGGAGCTGGACGATCTGGCTGGGGGTGACGACGATGAAGGTCCCGTTGCCGCCCTTGGTCCGCCCGAGGGAGTAGCGGGAGACCTCCAGCAAGAACCCGAGGTCCTCGATCATCCGCGTGAAGCGCACCTTCAGGTCGACGCCTTCCAGCTCCACCGGGCTCGGTTTCGTCGAGTTGCGGCCGCCGCTCGTCTTCAGGAGCTGCTCGTGCAAGTGCTCATCTGCGGAAAATACAAATGGACGGATCAGAATGGGTCAGTTGACTTATCCGTGCACTGATAAAAAAAAGTAAGACAAATTTTACCAAAAAGGAGAGAGATTTCTCGAGAAGACAGCGTATCCGCAATGAAAAGGTACGCGAGATAATGGGTGTGGAGAAAGACATCGTGGACGATATCAGGTCCAAGCAGTTGGTCTGGTATGGACATGTGCGAAGGATGGCAGATGATCGGTTGCCCAAGCAGGTCTTCGATTGGGTTCCTCCCGGAAGGCGACGGCGTGCAGACGTCCTGTGAAAGGTTGGCGACAAGGGGTGGAGGAGGAGATTAGAAGGTGCCAATTGCCTGATGATCTCTGGGAGGATAGGGGGCAATGACGATTGCGCGTCGCAGAGTGCGAGGCAGCGCCATAAAAGCGGCTTTATGTACCTATGTAAATTTTACCAAAAAGAAAATTTTAGCATTAGTCTCCTTGATTTTCGACACAGTGATGGTGTAGGGTAAAGATAGCCTGTTACACCTCAGAAAAGAAATTTTTACTACAGGGTGATCCAAAAGTCCCTTCCACCCCCTCTAACTTTTTACCTAATTGAGATAAAAATTTGAAACTTGGGGGATATTCCTAGGTCAAAGGGAGCTACTTTTTGGCACCCCTAAAATGTTCAGGGGGGCCCCCCTTGGGGGGGCAACGGCCCTCACCTTTGAATTTTCAAATAGGAAGACCCCCTTTGTGATAGCTCGTTCGAAAGAGCATAAAAAAAGAAAACTTTTCGCGCAAACCCGAAGTCAATATCTCAAACCGTTTCAAAATGGCGGCCGGTTAAAGTTCAAAATGGCCGAAATTTCACACCGGTTATTTTTCGATGGATTTGCGCGAAAATCGGTATGGAGGTGTATTTTGACACGAGAAAAACGAATTTGACGTTAGATTTTCAAAAAACCAAAATTTCCAAAATGGCCGCCGGTTAAAGTTTAAAATGGCCGAAAATTTTCACCTTGGTTTTTTCCTGATGGATTTGCCTAAAACTTGGAATTTGAGAGTATTTTGGCATAAGATAAACACATTTGAACTTAGATTTATGAAAAATAAATTTTTAGTCATTTTGAACTTTAACCGGCGGCCATTTTGAAAATTTTGGTTTTTTTGATAATCTAACGTCAAATTCGTTTTTCTCGTGTCAAAATACCCCTCCATACTGATTTTCGCGCAAATCCATCGAAAAATAACCGGTGTGAAATTTCGGCCATTTTGAACTTTAACCGGCCGCCATTTTGAAACGGTTTGAGATATTGACTTCGGATTTGCGCGAAAAGTTTTCTTTTTTTATGCTCTTTCGAACGAGCTATCACAAAGGGGGTCTTCCCATTTGAAAATTCAAAGTTGGGGGCCGTTGCCCCCCCCAAGGGGGGCCCCCCTGAACATTTTAGGGGTGCCAAAAAGTAGCTCCCTTTGACCTAGGAATATCCCCCAAGTTTCAAATCTTTATCTCAATTAGGTAAAAAGTTAGAGGGGGTGGAAGGGACTTTTGGATCACCCTGTATACCTCCAATGGATGAGTTGCGCTGGTTATATAATCATGTTCTGATACTTGATTCTTGTAGATTAGCTCAAAATAATAAGATCTGTACAAACAGCAACTCTCTACGTTCAATATTAACCGAGTTAACGCACATTGAAAAACTCGGTTTGTCACCCACCGCGGTAGTGACATACCCTTGGTTTCTTCCACCTTGCTTTCATAAATCAATGAGACACCTATTTGCACTGGTTACTCAATGCGGCACTCGAATGAAAGCAAGGTGGAAGGAACCAAGAGTGTCACCATAGGGTGCGTCAAAAAAAATGAAAGTCTGAAATGTTCCGCTCCCCGGGCGGCAATCGATGACGTTTGGTAAAAAAACATGTTTGCCAAGATTTGGGCCAATTTCAATCATTTTAAATGGTGCCAAAGGTCAATTTTGTGATGAAATTATGATATTTTGGTTTAGACCTCGATTTCGTACAAAAAACTCGATTTTACGCTGAAATTGTGCGTTTACGAGAAAAATGTCAAAGAACTCGACTTGTAGAGGATGAAATTTTACACTAGGAGGACGTCTTTGTAACCGATAAAAATCAAATTGAACTAGAAAAACTCAACTCGGTATTTATTTTTTTGGTCCTCAGAATTTCCGAGGTCTTACTAGGTAGAGGTTTAAAAGACTCATTTTTCACGAAAATAAGTCGAAAGAGGGTATAAATGAACTGTAGGCAAGTGTTGAGGATGCAAATGTCATCAGAACTTCCTCAGTTTCAAAAAAAGTTCCAACTATTTTGCACAATCCTCCAAAAAGTGTACGACTCGAGAAGCAGGATCGTGCTATAATAGTAAGGGGAAAGTGCGGTTTGACCGGGAAAAATTGCGTAATCGTCATCAGTAGGTCCCCCTGAACAACTTCCTAAAAGTTAAAAATGGCCCGACCCCGGAATATCCCTCAAAAAAGTTAAAATTGAAAATGGCGGCCGTAATAAGAGGGTCCGGGAAATCTGTATTTTAAAATGCTCATTCTGTCTCATCATGTGAGGTAGCATTTCCTATGTAATTTTGGTCGTAGATTTCATAAATGAATTCCGCAAGGCCCCTTCTGAGCTTACGTTTCTCTCGGTAGTCGTATGTTTCCTTTAATTTCCTTTATTAAATACATTTATAACATCAAATTTAAGTTTCTTGGCCATAAATACATGAAAATAAAGACACTTCACTTTCCTTGTTCCTTCGGTGAATATTTAAAAAAATGCAACCTCCTGCCTTTCACATTTGGCCGCCATATTTGATTTGGAGCGCCCCCTTTGGCCGGAGGGCCTTGCGGAATTTATTTATGAAATCTACGACCAAAATTACATAAGAAATGACACCTCACATGACACAGAATGAGCATTTTAAAATACAGATTTCCCGGACCCTCTTATTACGGCCGCCATTTTCAATTTTAACTTTTTTGAGGGATATTCCGGGGTCGGGCCATTTTTAACTTTTAGGAAGTTGTTCAGGGGGACCTACTGATGACGATTACGCAATTTTTCCCGGTCAAACCGCACTTTCCCCTTACTATTATAGCACGATCCTGCTTCTCGAGTCGTACACTTTTTGGAGGATTGTGCAAAATAGTTGGAACTTTTTTTGAAACTGAGGAAGTTCTGATGACATTTGCATCCTCAACACTTGCCTACAGTTCATTTATACCCTCTTTCGACTTATTTTCGTGAAAAATGAGTCTTTTAAACCTCTACTTAGTAAGACCTCGGAAATTCTGAGGACCAAAAAAATAAATACCGAGTTGAGTTTTTCTAGTTCAATTTGATTTTTATCGGTTACAAAGACGTCCTCCTAGTGTAAAATTTCATCCTCTACAAGTCGAGTTCTTTGACATTTTTCTCGTAAACGCACGATTTCAGCGTAAAATCGAGTTTTTTGTACGAAATCGAGGTCTAAACCAAAATATCATAATTTCATCACAAAATTGACCTTTGGCACCATTTAAAATGATTGAAATTGGCCCAAATCTTGGCAAACATGTTTTTTTACCAAACGTCATCGATTGCCGCCTGGGGAGCGGAACATTTCAGACTTTCATTTTTTTTGACGCACCCTAGTGTCACCACCGCGGTGGATGACGTCAGACCGAATTTATCAAAGCGCGATAACTCGGCTAATATTGAACGTAAAAAGTTGCTGTCTGGCAATCTTCTCATGTTCAGCTAACTTCAAGCATCAGATTCTGCGACCAGCGCAATTGACCCATTCTGGCTCCCAAAATTTTTAATTACGATATATTGTAGCTTTTATTACTTAATAGATGTATCCAATATTTTAAATATCCAAGTGTAACCGTTCAAAAGTTAACAGGGAGGTCCGGATTTTGTCGTGCCACTCACGAAACTACTTTTCAATGTTGCCGAGTTGCCCTTGTAAATTGCATTTTTACCAGGAGAATCTTGGAAGTTGTTAACTGAAAATCTCACCGATTTTTTTCTGATCTCTTGTAAAATTGAAAAAAATTGACTAAATTTGCATTGGCATATTCTTGTAAAAAATCTAATTGTTGGAGTCATTTTTGCAACTTTCGAATTAAGTTACGTTCCTTCGTCCGGAAACGAAGAACTATGGATCACCCTGTATATAAGGGATTGTATTCGCTCACCTCCTATGACGTAGGGAGCGGTGAGCTGGAACTCATGGATGGCATCGTCTTTAGTCTGCGGGTTTTTACTGTACAGGTCGTAGCCTCGGATGAAGTGGTGCACTTTATACGTGTTGTTGAGCGACTTGATGAACCCGCTGTAGACGACACCGTTGGTGAGGTCCGAGAACCGGAAGCTACTTTTTTCCTTTCCGATGAGCATGTTGTAGTGGATGTAAGCCTCGTCTTGCATTAACCCCACCTACAATTCAAACATTTGCAGGGATAAGATGCTTTTTCACGGGAGCAGATCTCAAATTCCATGCACATCTTACTTTCTTATCCTTTCGTTGAAGTCTCTGCAGTGGAGTCAGGTATAAGGCCTAGTCTCGACAGCGCATAGTGGATCGAGTCAATTAGAGAGGGCGGCTGCGAAATTGTTGACTGAAACTGCAAATATAGATGTTTATTTCGTCTTATTTTAAGTTATAAGGGGTACTTTTAGAACTTTAGAACCACTTTTAGAACCTCAAAGTTTTGTATAAACGGAGTTATAAGCGTTCAAAGTTTCCAAATTTTGTCCGACCTTGCCGATTGACTCAATCCACAGTGCGGCGCAACTGTTGCGGGCATAATTTAGTGCAACTGTTACGCGTTTATTGCACCACCCGAAGCTCACTGTCTCGAAGCACGGTTATATGTCCCTGCAACTCTTAGGCTAGGTGGGAATATTTTAACGGCATTACTTTTTTCAGGTATTTGGGGTATCTGAACTGATGTTAATTATCAGCTGGAAGTGAATATATAGTGTTATTTCTACCAGTTTTCATTAAAAAAAAATGATAGCATAACACTGATATGGGTAAGAGGAAATATTCGATGAAATTTTATTGTCCTGGCGCAGTGATATGCTACTTAATATAATATGAAATTGATACTTACTGTGTAGCCGGTAGCGGAGGTGCCGGTCGCTTCAAGCTCCTTAGCAAGGCTTTTCCACGAGATAGAGACATCGCACAGGTTCAGCGTGATCGGTATGGCTTCCGGTGTCGGGCGCAGCACACTTTTCAGCTCTGGCGTTAAAGTCTCCTGGCGCAATAACGAGTGTTTCTCCTCCAGTCTGCTCAGTAATTTTTGCAGATATCTGTGCTTCCAACCCTGCAAGTTTACCATTGAGGGTCAGTATGAAAGCTGCATTCCGCCTTAATAGCAAAGAGAGCAGTAAGTGTCAAATTTTCGAAATCGAGATGCCTTCAAAATCCGTCTATTCTCTTTTAGATGAAATCACTAAAATAGCTAACACTGCAAAATGTATCTAAATTGGACCGCGTTAAGCAGAAAGGAACCAAGCCATATCAGCTATTGCCAAATTTAACTGGGCAATTTAATTTATTACATGAAAACGGTGAAGCGGATTTGTTTGAAAATTTCAATGAATTTTCTGCATTTTACGAGGCAGATCCCCTAAAATTTTCAAAAAAATTCGCACAAATGTTCTCTTGTAGAAAATTAAATACCTTAGTTAAATGTGGCAACAACCGAAGTGGCTTGTCTCCTTTCTGTTAAACGCGGTCCAATTATATGAGTTGGAGGCACATCGACGGTGTAAGTTGGCAATCACATGACTCAGTTTGCGACGTCGCAGACTTCCTGTTATACTTTATTTTTTAAACGAAAAACTACTCGACGGCAATTCTTTAAAACTGCCATGATTTTCCTTCTCTGTGCGAAGGCAATTCTGCATAAACTTCAAGGAATGATGTCAATTTGATCTCCTTTAAAAAAAAACACAGAGGCGGAGATTTTTAGATACCCCAATCGAGATTTGTGATTTATACGGACTTACTCCGTCGATATGAGAAAGCTGTTGTAATTTACGTGTAGATACTCTTACCTGAGAGGTTAGCGGTCTGCTCCGGGGAATGAAAGGATTGGGCTTATCCTGGCTCGGAGCCCCAATGGCGAGGGACAGAAATGAAACGATGATGGCCGTGACGATAACCAAAAATCGACGACTCCCAATCAAAACGTTGTCCGCCATCCTCAAACGTCACAGTATCGTATTAGAAGCAATGTTATTTGTGTTCTCGTATTCTCGTTGCGAAATTCACCAGTGTCATCTGTAAACTTAAAATCAAACAACACTGATAAAAATTTCGGCGCGAAATTCACGCTTACTCAGTTGCTATTTTGACCACCTGTTACTCTGAGTGCATAGATCCGGCGCGAAATAAGCTCGGCGCGAATTTCGCGCTCTGACGGGAGTGAAAATCTGACAGGCAAACGTAAAACGGAATGGAACTGCCGCAGCAAGGAGTGGAACTCGGGTCGCGGCGGTGTGGTCTACCACTTTGCAAATCGGCGTTCGTACCAGGAAGCCCTGAATTCACGCTACTTGAGGTACCTTAACTAATTCGTCCGTCGTTGGTGATATTTACGCTCTGATCTATTCACTCAGAGTACGGCGCAAAATTCACGCTGGATCTTTTTTTCACGCCGACTATTCACTCAGAGTAAATCATTAATTTTTAACAGTGAAATTTACTCCACGAATCATGCTCAGCATATCGCAATATCAAAACTGAAGCACAAAAATACTCACATCCTATGCCTGTTTGTAACTATTAGTGACTAAGAGATTGTCTTTGTTGTGTATGAGAAAAATCAAAGGCACTCTGTATTTTTGGATCCTGGCAGGACTGCCTACTGCCCGCCGCGCAGCGAGTGAAACGGCGAGTTCCTGGGAAGTCAAAACGCCTTCGCTTCTGTGCGTATGCAACACGGACATTCCTGATGGCCGAATAGTTGCATCCTTACAGGCGTTGTTATGTAGTTTGTTGAGTCTTTCATACAAACTAATGGTCTATTACTCGTTTCGCTTACGCTTTAACTTGATTCCAGCGTTGTTATTGTGCCGATGTAGTAAACTATTACTGATTTATAACGCGACATTAATTGCATTGATAATAAAAAAAAATATAAACACTGCCGGTCCGCTTACATTCACGTTTTCGCGCATTTGGGGTGATTCTCGACACTCTTCCGAGGGATCCCGATCTTTAAAAATTAACTATATTATTGGATCCGGCATAATTTTTTTTTATTATTTCAGAGATCTGCCTATTTGGATCATTTTTTTGAATATATTTTTATTATAGATTAAGACCAGATATAGAAACGGGATCGATTTTAGTAAAAAATAAATAGAATAAGATAAGATGTTAAAAATAAAAATCTTAATAATCCAAATTTAATAAAATTGATGGTATATCATTTTACCCACCTACTGGGTACCCCCCCCCCTACCCCTGTTACTTTATTGGGTGATTTAGGGTTATGAGTTGGACTATTAATAATTGATTAATAATCTGATACTTAATAGAAGTATGTTTTGTGATGTTTGTTGGGGTATGTGTGGCAGGACACTTTTCACTTTTCCCACTTTTGGGCAATGTATTTCTTTTTATCGGGGTTTGAGCTGTTGAGTAAATCGATCCCGCGCCATCAGACCGTTAAGTACCTGTTCTAATACCGTCGTGCGAAGGAAAAACATTTTATCAACATTCGAATGTCGTCGGCAACTTTACGCTGAAAAAATACGGAAACTTCCAATTTCTCAAATTTTTTTCTAAAGGACTCAGTCTGAAGAATCAAGAAATTTCTAGGAAAACTATTGATAAATTTCCGTAATTATTAATATTTGATTAAAAAAAAAAAAAAAATTGAAGCAATACCCAAGTATTCAAGTATCCATGACATTTCGAAACTTCAAACACGTAGTTCTCAAAGTAACAAAAACTGCCCTTATGCGCCTGTTTTCCAAGCCATTCAGCAGGCTGATTATTGAAATAGACAAAAGCGGAAGAAAAAGATAACTAACTGAGAACAAAGCGATCCTATTGGTGGAAGCGGATGGTTGCAATGGACAAAGGAGGTAAATGATAAACTAACGGCAACCCACGAGAGAACCTACAGTTAGTCCATCATTTCCCCCTTAGTCTAAAACAACCACCCATTTCAACCAACAGAATCGCTCCATACTCCGTCTTCTTTGTCTATTGCTTCGTCTATCAATTTCAATAATCAGCCCGCAGTTCATATCAGTTGTGTCTAGTGGCCCATCGGGCTCGAGTGGAATAGCACTTGAGTGATTCGCCTCGGCGGTGGCGGACATAACGTCGATCCTCTGTCGCAAGTGCGTACCTCGCTCAGTTTCCACGTGAGCTCCGTTTCACATATAAACCCATCCTTTCTGGGGCTCATATGAGAAGACAGACACGGACTTACGTCAAAGGAGCGACAATAACATGGCCGAAAGCGAGGCGATTCTCCGGATCACTGTCAACGAACTGCTCATACTCTCGGCGCTCGGCCATCGGCGATTGACCTTGCACCAGGCCCAGGCCATAAACGAAAGTATAATGCGCGGAGTGTAAGCTCGCCGGCTTATTATCCAATGGGAATGGCGAGAACAAGGGAGAACTCAAGAGCCCCCGCTGCGCCCCCGCCAAGCTGTCGATGTCCGATGGAACCAGCCCATTGTTTTCCCCAAATCAAACTGTGCCTTGTCATCTTGAAAACCATTCATGCCCCGCTTGTAATTGGATTCCCAGCCCGATTTTGATTTCCTCGTTAACGTTCATCTTCAATTCTTCAGCGACTTGAAGTGAGGAATAGAGTGTCTACACAGGTAGAGTATTGCGATGTCTTTTGGCTGCTATCTGATCGGTTCTTCAGTGTCAAATAGTCGGATCAAATGGACTACATTTCGTAATTTGGAACTACGATTTCCGGCTCATCTGTGAAAACACGTATGTGTATAAAGAATCTAATGGCACATGCGTTGTTTCTGAACTGAGCCAGAAATTCCAATTCAAAATTGGAAAATGCGGTCCAATTTGCAATTGGGAGCTTCAATGTCTGGCTTATCCATGAGACACTTTAAGTTTAAGGAAATTAATGGCACATACGTCGTTCCTAGTCTGACTCAGAAATTGTATAGGTCTCAATTGCTAGATGTAATCCAAATGTAAATATTCCAGAGGGGAAAGGGAACCTACAGGAATTTGTATTTCCGTGGAAGAAATGAATGATGCCTACAGAGATAAAAACATCCCAGTAACATACCATGATCTTTATGAATACATTTTCAAAAAGTCTCAAGGAAACTGTCGAAATGTTTGTTTTAGAAAACCATATTGGTAATTTAATTTTTTTTTTTTTTTTTTTTTTTTTTTTTTTTGTAACATATTTTATTTGTTTCTTCACAAATTGGAATTGGTAACTTTTTAAGTAAACAAGTTTTGTGAAATTTACCTTAAAACAGCCTGTAGCCACTTTTTCTTTAAAAAAAATGAAAAACTTTAAGGGAAATTTACTTTTTGAAGTCTGTGACCGCATTTTGAAGGGGATTTCAACACTTTTTCATACATTTTTGGTGATAAACAACAGCATTTGGTATTTTAAGGATTTTTTTTTCACACTTTTCTGCTTAGATTTTACCAATCATTAATTTCTCATAAAACAATCCCCAAAAATAGTGTCCTTGAATAAATTTTTTTAAAGGTTTTTTCTCTTATCTTAAGTATTTTGTTTTTCAAGCAGGTTTTTCTTAAGGTTTTTTAACAGTCGCTCTTACTCAGGAGGTCCTACACGAGAGAAAAATGCTGCAGAGAACTAAATGTTTCATATCTTTCGTAAATTTTACAACCTCGTAAAATATCATTAAATACTGCAGTGCATGACATTTTCAATCTTTCATAAGTTTCTTTCGTTTTAAGCCAACATGACCTTCATGCACTAAAAGGTCCATGCTTTTCATCGTTGTATTGCCACAATCAGCTTTGAAATCAAGCTAAATATTTTAACAGAGGCTGTCAACATATTCAGCGGTTGCATTTTAACGTTTCTCATTAAAATTGTCGAGCAAAAAGGCAACTTATTGGAGATCTTCGAAGGGTATTTTTGTCGCCGAGGAAAAAACATTACATTAAAATTTGAACATCTGAAGGAAATGCATAAAATGTCAAATGATTTTTTACAACGTTGCAGTAAAGGTAAGACCCTCATGATTTGACGTCTCTGTCCGTGAAGCTAAATTAAGGGGCCTGGAGGACAAGGCGCATGAGTACAGTTTTTGATATTTAGAGAAAAACGTGTTCAAAGTTTCTAAATTACATGGCTCCTTGTGGCGGAAGGAAAGTTCAAACTGACTTTTTGATGCTTAAAAATTGGAATTTAGGAGCGAATGTTACACAGAATATGCATTAAGACTAGTTTAACTTGAAATCATTAATATCTCAAATTTTTCAAAAGCTGCACTTACGTGCCTTTGTCCTCCAAGCCCCTCAATTTACGTTTTCTACTTTTTTATACATTTTCAAATTAATCTCGACACCTTCTTTTCTTCCTCTGAAACGTCTGAAACGGTAATTGATGAACTTCCACATACCTGATTGTTTTGCAGTTATGTCGACTTCACCTCAAAAAAAGACCCAATCAATATCCCCTCGCACTCTTTTTGGTCAAACCGTGCGAAGAAAAGCACCGATGGCTATACACTCGCAAAAACTTTTGAAAAACTTACAGAATCCTAGCTCCGCGAGCCAAAATTCACAATAATCTCCGAGGATCAGAAAATCAGCGAAAATCTAAATTCGACCCGAATCGGCTTTCAGGACCGAGCGCGGCGGACTGAGGTATCGAAGAAAATAGAAAAGTAAAAAGCGTGATGAAAAAGCGCGAGGGATAACCAACATTGTCGCCAAATATCAGGCATTAAATCATGAGCCTCAAGTCCAAAGAAAATTTGCTGAGGAGATTCGGCAATCAGGACGATGCAGACTGCCTGAGGAGTATCTCATTTGATGCTGCGCTTTATGTAACAAAATATTGAATTGTTTTCTGCCGGGACACCAGGATGTCGAATCGTTATCGAATCGCCATCGACGCTGATCGATAGATGGAATCATTGAGATGGGGATCTATCGATCGATTCTGATTCGATAATCGACTCATGGCGCTGAGAATCGTCTGTGAAGCCGGGTCCATTGTAGTGTCGAGAACCCAACTCACCAATTCCTATTCATATAGATGCGAGTGTCAGCGATCTCCAACGCATCGGGACCTTGATGAAACCTGCACGTGTGAAAAGCGAAACGCAAGGTATGCTTCCTTGCAACGAGGTTGCCCGTAAGTGAGACTTGGGGGATCAAAAGTGCACATATGCATTTTTGGATGAAATTGAGAGAATGACATGCGCGGACTGAATAATACTATTCGTTGATGTTTTTGAAGTGTACGATGCATCTTTATTGTTTATAAAATTTTAATAATTGTAAAAATAATATACCAAGATGAAATTGAGTGGCTTGGAGGACGAGGTGCATAAGTGCAGTTTTTGCTATTTCAAAAAATACATGTTTGAAGTTTCACAATTCCATGGATCCTGATGGCAGAAAGGAAATTTAAACTCACTTTTTGATACTTTGAATTTGGATTTTAGTGAATTTTTCACTGAATATACTTTCAAATTAGTTTTAGGTGAGTTCATGAATATCTCAATTTTTTCAAACATTGCACTTAATCGCCCTGTCCTCCAAGTCCCTCAATTGTTATTGACATTCCTTTATTCTAAATGAATTACGAGCTAGATACTAATCATCAGTAGAATCGATGACAAAGATAGAAGAACATGCCACTACATAATGAGAGATGTGCTATTCACATGCAACTACGAACATGCTCGGCTAGCCGAAAAGTAAGAATAATTATAAGTGACAAAAGTTGAAATGAGTCTTGTCAACTTTTGTCATTTATTTTATTCTTACTTTATATTTATCCCGGCATATTTGTAGTTGTGATCTTTAGCGTTTTTGCAAGCTGGATTCGCCAAAAGGCTAATCTGCAATGGTCTTTCGCGCGCCAAGGGGGCGTAGCTACCAATGGGTAGCTACGCCCCCTTGGCGCGCGAAAGACGCGCCCCTTTGAGAGATAGCAAAATAAGAAGAGAAAAAAATTATGACCGAGAAAATATGTACACAGAAAATTCATAAATGAACGGGAGAAGAGAAAGTAAAACCGGAAATAAGTCTCCAGAGGCGCATGAGCCTTCCGTAATGCTAAAAAATTTTAATTTTGGGGGTTTTTGGTTTGCCGAATTCAGCCTCTGTGTCTTTAGTTCAAGATTCTGAAGAGTAGGGTGAAAAAGATTGGAACATACTAGGTTATCTCGGTGAATATCACAATGGTGTCTTACTGCTTTATGAAACACATAGTAAATGCCATTTTGACATTAGAGTATCATTATAAGTCACGTTTACCATGGTATTTCTAATAGTTACTCTTCACTAATAATCACTCTCTCGAAGAGTTTTTCCTCTTGAGGGTTCCCGTTCTTTGTGGCGATGGGATCTCGGGTTGACTCATGGAAGTGGCCTTCCTCTCGCCGCGGGAGCTAGTGCTTGTCCCTTTATGACCTCGAAGCTTAGGTGTTGTCCTCGTGGAGCTCCCCAAAGAAATCGCCTTTCCGCCGATTGCAGATTTCTCCATTTCGATCATTCCTTTTAGGTTTTTTTCGATCTGCCTCATGTAGTTCTCGTTCATCGCTGTAATGTCAGTCTTCATTTTATGAAGGGACTTCATATTCTTTGCTGCTTCTGCTGAGTTTCCCGGGACTCCTGGTGACGAATGACACAGTGGTAAATTTCTCATCTTCCGTAGATTTTAATGGTAAACATAGTCAATAAATGGATGGATTTAAATCAAAAGGAACTATGTCCATTCGGACGTGAGCCCAGGGCTCTACAAGAATACATGCACGACAGCGGACTGATTATTGAAATTTATGGACAAAGCAATGGACAAAGAAGACATAGGGAGCATGGAGCGATCCTATTGGTTAAAGTTGGTGGCTCCTATAGACTAAAGGAGACAGCGATTGACTAACTGTAGGGTTTCTCGTGGGTTGCCGTTAGCTTGTCTATTACCTACACTGAAAAACAAAAAGTAGCTTGGATCAAGCATGATAATTTTTGAATTTGCCGCCAAGAATTTTCTTTATCTTGCTTTAAGCTGACCTCTTCTTGATTCCAGAAAAATAATGCTTGGGTTAAGCAAAAAAGTAGCTTATATTAACCAGCAAAATTCTTGATTTAAGAAGAAATACTTATTGGCGGCAAATTTAAGATTCTTTTTTTTCCAGTGTACCTCCTTTGTCCATTGCAAACATCCCTTCCCACCATTGGGATCCCTCCATACCCCTTTCGTCCTCTTTTTCTATATTTTAACTATCAATTTCAGTAATCAGCTCGCTGGGCATCCGATAACGGTCCAACCGTCAAGGCCGTTGGAAATCTAAATTGTCACGAACATAAACGGCAAAGTCCCCCCCCCTTCCGCTGAAATATGATTGAATTTAAGTTTTTTTGGTACGGCGCAATTAAAGTAATATTTGTCAAGCGGCATAATTTTTTACACGGTATCTTTCAGCTCAAACAAACAAAATCGCATACTAACACGTGAAATCAGCTGACCATTTGATTGTTTATTAATGCAAAAAAACCAAGAAAACCTAAAGTTTCAGCCCTATAGATGTCTGAAGGTCCCTTTGAGGTTCAGCTGCTGAAGTTTGGGTCATACACCTGAAGTCTGGCTTGTTTCGTAGAAGTTTCGACTGATCTTCGGATGTGTGACCCGCACTTCAACCGCTAGACCTTAAGTTTCCAAATACAAGAGCTAAATACAAGAGTGGAAAGACATTTCCACTCCAAGTCATAGAAACCCGTGCTCTAGGGTGTGTCTTATTTTTGAGTTTTCCGAAAATCAAGTTGGTCAACCCCTAAAAAGTTTCTATGTGGTCTCTAAATGAACCCCCTAAAAGGAAAAAATTTTAAAAAAATTTTAACCCGTGCCTCAAAGGGCCTAAAAGGCCTAAACCCAAAATTCAAAAATTTTGGCAAGCGACACATCAATTCTGAAGGAAAATGGCAAGTTACGGTCCTTTTGGGACAGAAATTTCGTCCGTTTTGCCGTATCTTGAAGCGTAAGGTCACAAACGGCCCAATGACGACGTGAGGCTATGGGCTGGCGGGGCGCGCCGCGGCCGGCCCGCCGCTGAGCGTGCGCGCGCGGCAGGGTTGCGCATCGCCGCTTTACACCGGCGTAGAGGAACGAACGGTGGAGTGGGAGGGGGATATCCGGTGGAAAAGCATCCACATTTTCTATCCATAATGAAAATGCATTATACTTTTTCAATATAGGTGAGGAAATATGAGCCATACAAGGAAGTGATGAAAAGAGTGACAAATACATATATAGTTTGTACGGTTAAGAGTGTAAGTGGGGAAAATTTGCCGTAACTACAGAACAGCCCTGAAAATCTCGGGGAAATAAAAGCTGCTATTGATGAGAGGTTTAATTAAGGACTAATTAAAAAGATAGGTGCGATGTTGTCGAATCGTAAGCCCTTTACGCGATCAAAAGCGATTAGTGTAAATTTAATTGGAAAAGTTTAAGAAAAATTTGATGAAAGAAAATTGCCC